CCCCAAAACCCCAAAACCCCGCTCTACTAAATCCATGAAATCTGTCTGTCATTTATTTTATTTAGAAATCTCACAATAAAATGGACGAAGATAACGGGGCAATGAGTAAAACTCAAAAGAAGCTATTTGTAAATGGTAGATATACTAATGTTACTGAGTTCAATAAGGAACCACCAAAGCCTATGTATGTCACAACTGATTTTGGCAGCAAAGGATTATATAAGGAGACCACGACTAATGGAGGTGGTTCTAAATCATAATCTGTATTTAAAGATGTGGCTAACCTCAGATTGTAAGGCCTGACATTCGATGCTTGTCACATGGATAGATTCCTGAATACCTAGTATTGCAATGCTACTTCTCCAAGCAAAGTGCTTATGACCTAGACTAAGAACCCTTACAGTCCTAAAAATGCTTATTCAAGAACAAGTCCTAACTAAGTGCGACAATCACATAATTTTACTTCAATAGACAGAGAGCATAAGGGCCAGTAACGCATCTACATTGACTAATATGACGGCCCATCTTCTCTTATCAAGAGAGATGAAATCAAAACTATTAAGGATAAAATAGGCGGGGACAAGTACATTTACGACATTGAGAGAGATAAAGTTGCAAATATGAATAAGGACTTCACTGAGTTGAAAAGGAAAATGCTTGAAGAAGATGGTGGGCTTAAAAGTTCAAAGCAAAGATACCTAGAGACAGTTTAGCTGAAATAAGAATTGAAGAAATACAAGGAATTCAAAGACCAGCAATAGTTTGTAGGAAAGAGAGATAGGTTGCTTAAAAATGGGTGGAGACATGGCATCCTGGGGGTTGAGAACACAGACGATCCAGGTACTGATATCTATAAGGATGTTCAACAGTCAAGAAACTATCAATAAGAGGACAAAGACCATATTAACACTCGCAGATACAAAAGTAAGTTACTCTCTCTATCTTTACTAATAATTCATAGAGATTGTAAAGGCTGGAGGAATTTCGAGTTAAGTTGACTTTGCAAGGGCGGGACAATTCAATGAAATGAGAAAGGATGATAAAAATATAGTGCCAATGTACCCAGAGTGGAAGTCGAAGGGAACAAGTCCTATGAGGTTCTAAGACACTCATAAAGATATCTTTGTGCATCTTGATGCACCTTATAATCCACTGAGAGCCTCGAAGCTTAAACTAGAAGAGAAGAGGGATAGACCATTTAATATTATCTCAGGAGAAATAACATCAATCATATGATCCTGATAATTATTTCAGAATTGAAACTTTATACTAATCTTAATTATAAGTTAAAGTTATTGAAACAATTTTAAATTTAATAGAGTTATGAAATTAATATGATAAAAGAATTTTTTTTCTCTTGAAGTATTATTTTAGTAATCATATTTGATCTTTAAACATTATCATAAATCACCCTATGATGATTCTGAATATTTAGGAGTCTAAAGCTTTTACTAAGCTTGTATTAACTCTCTTTTAAAAGTTTGCTATATCTAAATTTAGTTATCTAATAACACACCTAGAGTTTTCTCTAGATTTTCAATTTTGTGATTGAAGTTATTGACTATCAAGTAAATTATGAATCCAAAAACCAATATGAAGAAAACAATTGCTAGTATAATCAACTTCACTTTTAGTCTATCCTTCTTCTTTCTAAGCTCTTTATAGGTAGTATTCAACCTTTAATTAGCTAGTTTATCTAATTAACCTTCATTGACAATATATTTTTCATCATCCTGTGGCTAGAATTTATCGTCTGTATCAATAGATTTTGCTTTACTTTTCATTGATGAAGTTTGACCAATGATCATATCAAGTTGCTTATCAATCTTTTGGAATTTTTCCTTGACAGAGGAGGGCTACTCTAATAATTGATTATTAGAATGATCTGATACTATTCTCTCACTTTTGTAACTTTTAACTAGTTTCTTTGAATGCTTTTCAGGAATGTTTTCATCGACAGAAATAACTTTTGGTTCAGGTTTTATCTTTTTCTCAATTATAGGCTGTCTAACTCTTTATTCTAAATAACCCAGATCCTTAGCTATTCTTATCCAATGCTCAATGTTTTCTTTCATTCCTTCAATTGTTCGAGAAATTATCCTGCCCTTGAATAGAGTACTCTTGACGAATACAATATTTATCTAAACTCTACAATAATGATTTACTTTTTTAATTTAATTACCTAAGCAAGCACTTATAGGTAGTAGACTTATCACTTATTATCTGCCATTTCTCATCAATCTGAAAGCTATCTGCATAAGGAACATCTAAGCTCTTATTTTACATATCAAGCAAAATGAGGTTTCCACTTTTCTAAGTTAGTTTAAAATGCTTTTAATGCCTAGTAGAATTTAAAAAGGGTACGCCTTTTACAGGTAGCACAGATCTAAGCCATCTCTATGGAATGGAATCTTAGCCAGAAGTCCATTTCTCTAAACTTATATCTTTTCTCTCCATTTTTTAACTAAATACATCAAATCCATAGCCTGCATCATCCTTTAAAAAGGAGTCATAGAATTCATCTACACTTAAAGGAAAAGCTTAGACTGCTAATTAAGTCCATTCAGTAGGAATAGGATCCTTAACATTCAAAAGCTTGATAAGATCTTCATCTGTAGGCTCTTGTTCTTATTTTATAGGGTCTCCATTACCCATGTTTAATGATTTAGAAAATGTCATATCTTGCTGAAAAGGTGATGCATTTTTTATATCATCTTTGAATTTGCCTAGATTTTTGTGATTCTTATCTAAACTAGTGAATTGCTGATTCTGAGAACTAGTGTCCTCTATGCTTGATAGATCAACTGGCAGTTGATTCTTAAAATTTTGTTTATCCTCCTAGAATTATTTGTTTCCAGTAAGTACAGAAGACATTCTGACCATACTGTTGATGTTTATTTTCGTTTCCTCGCTCAGAATATCTTTATTGTATCTTACTGACATAGCCCTTTGATGAGGAAATCCTGTTGAGCTTGAGTGTTTTAAATTTATTGGAGATGGTGACAATGATCTCTTATCAGGGGCATTATTGCTATTAGGGGTTAGATTCCCACTTACAAAATCTTCATCATTCTCATCTTCTTCGTCGCTATCAAATTTTGCAGCATGAGGAGATACATTCCTCCAAAGTGCTTTTACTCGTCTGAATGCTAAATTTCTATCTTGAAAAGAACAAAAGGTCACAGGTTCAGTCTCATTTGCTTTGAATATCTCAATACCTGAATCTAAAATTCCCAATAGCTTCTTCCTTTATATATCTGTGACAATGGTATAAGGTATTGTAAACTATATAATGGATTAATAACACCTTGTGAAAGATAAAAGTTTATACCTTTTTGCTCATTCCCAAAATACTGCTTGAAAAACAGATAAAGTTTTATGTCAAATATAATCTTCCACTGATTGGCACTGTCTATAGTATAGAACAACCGAAATCATCATAAATGTCCTCCTAAATTATATGAATTAGATTTGCAATATTAGGATACATTCTTTGGTAAGGTAAACTGCTCTCTTAGTAATTGTTAACTCATTTTTATCCAATTTAATATTTAAAATACCTCATTAATCACCCCAAAAATTAATAAATGAAAATACCTCATGGGGTTTTGGGGTTTTGGGGTTTTGGGG